ATCGCTTCTGTTCGCAAAATGGCACTTTTTGATTCATTCGAATAAAAAGAAAAGTGCTTCTTTTTGATCATCGCTTCTGTTCGCAAAATGGCACTTTTTGATTCATTCGAATAAAAACGAAATTTTTTCTTCAAACACCCATAACAAAACGAGTGATAATCACAAAATATCCCCCCTATATATATATAGGGGGTATGTTCTGTGGTGATAATAAAAGCTGAACTGAAGTTATGGAACCGGAATGAAGTTATTTACTTATGAGAACATAACCTACTAAATCTGTTTCCTATGTACCAGTTGTCACTCAAGTCAGTTGTCACTCAAATTAGTGGCGTTTTTGAATACTGAATAAATGGGCGATTTTTTTTTTCAGACGAGAACGAGTGCAAATACCGACCTTGTGACGTATTTGCTCACTGTACTAACACGCTTGGAAGCTTTTCTTGTACATGCTTTCCTGGATACCATGGAAATGGTTTTCACTGCGAAGGTAAGTCGTTTTGTGCGAGATTATTAAAATTCCCTAATGATGATCGTTATTATCTAATATAAAACTGGTTGGAGATGGATAGGCAGAATCGAACATTAAAATTCCTCCTTTACCTGTTATAATTAGTCGCGATGTGGATAAAAATGTGCAAATTGCTAGGTAGTGTTTCCTAAACGTTTTCATTTTGCCTGATAAATATTACCTACCGGCTGATGGTAATGATGGCATTGCGTAATGATTCCAATGAGAATCATCATCTCGTTGAGCACTATATTTCCCAGCAGGCTCTTTAAATCCAATCCTTTTGTCACGCCAAGGTGTTTGCAGAAATTAACTGTTTCTGAACGGAAACACACTTGAAATTTCGGTTATTTTCACTTGTGGGATTGTTTCGGGATCGATCGAAGTTTGATGCGTTTAGTCTATGGTGGAAAATCATTTTTTCCTGGCGTTTTTCAAGCGCGATTGGCTTGCGTCTTCAGAGCGGTTTTGTCGAGCAACCGCCAGGAAGAAAATCTCTTCCAGCCCAGAAAATCTCACCAGTTTCTTTGTGCGGGGCTAATGTCGACTAATTATGTTTTTTTTCTAATAGATATTACAGATAATTTAAGAAAATGAATACTTTGTATGATGGCAAACACCAACGCGAATGACACGCGTATTCAGAATATTTAGCGGTTTTTGTCATTATATGGCGCGCGGTTCAGATCCTTCAGTATGATTAAATTTGTAACTCTCTTAACACGGGCTCGATTTGGATCATTGGAAATGCTTTTTAAAGCGAGTGATTTTGTATGCAAATCGCTTTTTTGTGCACTGCAAATGAGTTGAGAGACTTGAAAGTTATCACAGTTTGAAAGACGAAAAGATGATTTTTTAAGGAAACTGTTGCCAATGTTTTCTTTGTGGATTTAAGGCCGCTTTTTTTTGACAAACCGCTTTTGTATGTAGAAATTGTCTGCATAACTGCCAATGTAGAGTCGACTTTGAAATTGGCTGAAAAACGTAAGATTTTTTATAAAAACTGCATCTCGGAAAATTGCAATCGGTTCAAAAACTTGGGAGGCTTTAAGGTCGACAACACAATTTTCCCAATAAAATGCGGTGAATTTTTACCTCGATTAACTCATCTTGAAAATAGAGCATAAGATTGTTTGCGAAGTGAATTTTCGAATTGAATAAGAAAGTTTGTATTTGCAACAGTTTGGCAAGCGAAAAATTCTCAAACTTGCACATACTCTTCACCCTGTAACTCGGTCAGTTAACAACATTTTTCCGAAATTCCAAAACCCTCAAAAAGCCCATGAACGTGGCGTAAAAAACTGTTTCAGGGCCAAATTTCTTTTGGGTCACCCTTTCAGCGCCAGAGGAGTTTCAATTTTAAAAGATCTAAAGCGCTGGTTGTTCCTGTAAATACGCTTTTTTTGTACAAGTTTGGCGGCGCGCCAACATCTTTTTAACCCTAAAATTTAATTTTAAGTCCAAATCAAAATGAATTCCTGGGTTTCAGTCATTTATTGTCTTTATTTATCAATTAAAATACGTTTCGGTGTATTTTTCCACCATCATCAGTTT